TCTGACTCTTGACTACTGCTGTTCCGAATTATGATTCATTTCATTTCATTGTCTTGCTGGGTTTGTCCCTATTTTACCCAGCACTGGGTTGTATTTAACCCAGCATTTTTTAGAGTACATGTTTAGTACTGTTTTTTTAACTACTTGAAATTTTTTTAACTGAAATACCAAAAAAATTTAATAGAGAAATAGTAAAAAATCAAAATGACAAAAACACATGACTAAACAAATTAAAATAAAAATGAAAAATATAAAAATAAAAGCCCATTCAAAATATGAATAAAAAATTTTTATATAGGTAATACTAAAATAAAACATATTTTGTCTCGTTATTTTTCATAATTGCATTGTTATTTTACTCATTTCTTTCTTTGTAGTTCACCTGAAAGGTCTTTGCCAATACAATTATTTGAACTAAAACTGATAGTACTAAAACTAAAATACAAATAAGTTAAACCTAAATAGTAATATATTTTTTAAAAAGTTTCAAATAGACAAAGCATTCAATTAATTAAAAGATTCAATTAAAATGATAATGAAAACTGAAAACATAAAAAAAACAAATAAAAGCTCATTCAAAACATTAATAAATACCGTACAATGGCTGCAATATAACAAAGAGTGAAAAATTTAAGGGGGTCTGAATACTTTCCGTACCCACTGTAAATAGGGATAAAACAAGACCAAATTAATTTGGTCTTATTTTCCATAATTCCACTGTTATTTCACTATTTTCTTTGTTTGTAAATAAATAGAAATGACAAACACATCAAAATGACAAAAATAAACGAATTCAAATGAAAACCAAAAATATAAAAATAGAAGCCAAGTCAAAATATTAATACTATAATAGTTTATAAATAGTACTAAAATAAGACAGAAATATATATATTTCCACTGTTATTTCACTACTTTCTTTCTCTGAAATGTACGATTACTTGTCATGCCAATGCAGTATTAAACGAAAGACTAATAAAACTAGACAGAAGCAACATGAACGTGTGCACCAGCGACTCTCTGTGTCCTTCATCTGGTCCTGAATCTCCACATGCTCTTTAAGAGTCGCTCTTCATTGTCAAGCACAGGACTGCATCTCTAGACAGACGGCAGCTTAACCTTTTCCTGGTTTATCAAGACTGCAGTCAATAACATCTCGCGGCTCCTCGGGGTCCGTGTCCTTGTCTGCTCTGGATGGATAATATCTCCAATGAGTTCGGATCTAAATGTTCTGCCATAATTAAACCTCAAAGATAACTAGTGGATGATTATTCTCAAGTACAAGATCATTTCTAAAAATGCCTAAAAACATCAAAGGCTGATTCTCTTTCCTACTATAAAGATTAGTGTAAAAATAGATAAAAGCAACTGTTTCTAAATCTGTATTTTGTGATATAAACTTGGACCTTGGATGTAATGAAATGCACCAGCATGTGCACAATGTTGCATTCATTATTAACATTCATGTTGTTTTAATTATAACCCAGATTTTGCTCTCAAAACTCATGAGATTTAATGTGGTACTTAGTAAAAAATAGACACAAATGAGTCAATATTAAGATCATACAGTACGAATTTTACAGCTATAAAATGAATACAGAGCAGCACAGATCATTTGATCTTAATGAGAAATGTTTGAGTTCCTACTGGGACAGAGATATTAAGGTTAAAAGTAAAATAAATAGTTAAGTAAAAAATAAAATCATACAACTTAAAATAATCGTTTTTAAAATAATACTTATTTCAGTTAATTGCAAAGGCGACATTTCTCATTTTCATTTAGTTTAACTTTAAGTACTAAAATAAATAAAAATAAATAAAATAAAACTATTAACTAAACAGTTATAAAAACTATATTCACATATTTATAAATAATAATAAAAATGACAGAAACACACAACAAAATTACTAAAACTTTAAACTAAAAAAAAAAAGAAAAAATGACAAAAACACAGAACACAATTACTAAAACTTTACCTAAGCTAAAATAATAATAATATCAAAAACACAACAAATTACTCAAACTTTAAACTAAAAAATATAATTAAAATGACAAAAACACAACAAAATTACAAAAACTTAAAAAAAAAAAAAACTAATAAAAATGGCAAAAAAAAATTCTAACACCAAAAAAAAAAAAAAAAAAAGGAATAAAAATGAAACAAAAAATGTAATTACTAAAACTAAAAGTCAAAACCCACAACAAAATTACTATAACTAAATTAGTACAAAAAAGTAAAAATAAATAAAATAATATAGTGAAATCTAATTCAAAATATAAACAAACTTCATAGTCTAACAATAATACTAAAATAACATTGTTCTGAGATTGCACTTTTTACTGTGCTTTTACTTGCAGAATTTTGTATATTTGCACATCTGAGCAGTTTGAGATCTTAAAATCTCTTTCAAACTGAGATTACTGGTCTCTTTCTCATTAGAAACATCGGAGAAGTTTCAGGCTTCAGCAAAAAAAAAAAAAAAAAAAAAGTCTCAACTGTATATGAAAAACATTTGAATCCCCTCGTGTGATTTTTCACATGCAGTTTTTAATTTGCTTATTGCAAGCAGATTCACCTCGAGTCCTTGTGGCTTCCCAGGAAAACCCAGATCTGCAGTCTTGAGAGTTTAGTTCACAGCCCTGCAGTGAAACGGCTGCACAACATCAAAATAGAGTCCAGCACAACTAAATCTATTAGCTTCGGCCCATTGCTTTTTACCGTCTTATGACTTTTAATGTAAGAGTTGTCAGAAAGAGGCTGTGTGACTTCTACATCACAAAAGTAATATTGTTTTGCAGAACATTACCTGTTATGATCATCCCCAAAAACTGGAGCGACGTTCACAGGTCTCAGAGGAAGAAAAAACTAAATCTGATGTTCACCCAAAATATCATTCGTACATGCAACTAACATTAAGGAATAGTTCACCCAAAAATGAAAATTTGCTGTAAATTTACTCACCCCTCAAACTATCCAAGATTAGGATGAGTTTGTTTCTTCATCAGATTTGGAGAAATGTAGCATTGCATCACTTGCTCACCAGTGGATCCTCTGCAGTGAATGGGTGCCGTCAGATTACTTGTGACGTATGAACTTGTGGATTATTGTGATGTTTTTATCAGCTGTTTGGACTCTCATTCTGACGGCACCCATTCACTGCAGAGCATCCATTGGTGAGCAAGTGATGCAATGCTACATTTCTCAAAATCTGTTCTCAGGAAGAAACTGCAAATATTCATTTTTAAGTGAACTGCTCCTTTACATTCATCCATGCATCCATCAAAATCAATCGTACAGATTACTGTAAATAAAGAGGACTCAAGCATGAAGATGTGAGCTTCTTGTTTATTGTTATCAAGGATTCATGTTGGTTAATTGCATTGCTAGCCAAACAACACGATCAACCCTATTGGCTTCTGTAAGGCTCACCGTCTGGCACGAGAAGAAATGCTGCTGGGTTAAACATACAGTATATCTTAATGGCAATTACATATGTTTAGTAAGTACATTCTCCTCTACAAGATATTCATGTACAATATACAAGTTTAAAAAATATAGTTTGCATTGAGTTCCACAACCGTTTCGTTCTCTTCACGATGACAAAGATTCACATTAGTTGCTTTGGACCGTAATGCTTTCTGTGTAGCGAAAAGGACTGGGACTTTTTTTTGTTTGTTTGTTTCAAAAGAAAGTAAAGGAAGATAATTGGTCACCGACACACACAGACGTGCGTGATGTTCACAAGAAACAAAAAGCATGGCAGAAACAGAAGACCGGACTTGAAAAAGAAGCAAACAAACAGCAGTATTTGCAAGATACAAACACGCTCACACACTTAAGGACGATAAACACACTACAGTACGCCGGATACATGCCCTGCGAGAAAACCAACTCCGACTTGTGTGTTATAAATGTGTAAGGAATCAACGTTCAAGGTGAAGAAAGCAAGAAAGTCAAGGCCAGATAATACGAACGTAACTGTGATCATAAGACACCTAAATCTGTGAACAAAGACAACGTTTGAACCAAGGAAGAAGCACTTGTGAAAATGTTCAATGAATTATGAAATACTGCTGATGCTGAATTTCATAATAGTGAAGCCAGCAAAACCTAGAAAAGCCAAAAAATGAGCATTGCGAGAAATCGAAGGCATGTGACCTGGAAAAAGCAATCCAGAAGTCAAGTTTGTCCATCATAGAGGGTCCGAATAACACTTTAAAACCCATAATTACATCCACAGCTCTTTACAAGCCAGAAATCACCAGGGTTACGGACGTGCAGTCACTCTTAAAACAGTGATTTGGAAATTAAGTTCATACGGTGCTTTGACGTAAATAAAAAATGTTTTCTTTTGTTTGTTTTTTTAAAAAAGACAGCAAAATCATTTAAACATAATAAGAAACAGATCTCGCAGTCAAGCCAAAGCAGCTGCTGGGTGGCCTGATGCAGCGGGACAATAATTCAGTAACACAAACAAGCCAGTGACACGGACGTTTTGTCCCACGGAAAAGTCGATGGGGACGAAAAGGCAAACCAAGGGTGTGCTTAAGATCTCCTGCTGTTTGGAGCAAAGTCTTAAGGACGCTGGGCTTAAACTGAAGGCAGAAAATGTGGAAGTGGACTAGAATGATTGGGATCTGAATTTAGCACCAGCACTCGAATGGCACAAACGGGCCGTTTTTACTGAATATAACATGAACGAACTGTATTGGGAAGATGAGGTGCATCTCTTTCTTTTGCCGAGGAAAAGGATGCATCTCATTCCTTCTGCTTCTCTTCTGTTCCCAATTATTTTAGTACAGGCGTATGTGATGATAGTATCCATTTTCTGTTTGAATATCACACTTGAGTGTTCCAGAAAGCGTTCTTGCTTTGTTTAGTAGAAGAGATGGAAAAAGAAACAACGATGTAAGAGATGAACGAAAGAACGTAAGCTTTTCCCACACTCGCTAAAAGTAGCTCGAATCGATTTCAGAAAACTCCACACCCAAAAAAACATGATTTTGCAAGGGGCTGTTTTGGGTTTATTCTGTATAAGGCTTCATGATGGTCACAGTGGTTTCTTAGTGTGGGGTTAAAAGGCTACGTAGCTGGAAGGAGAAATGCAATTCTCTCCATCCACATGTCTCTGAGCTTGTGTGGTCTAGTCTCTGAATTTTTTTTTTCCTTTATTTTTTTTGTCGTCTCTCAGTTTAGTCAAGATCACTTCTTAGGTGTTCAGGAGCGTCTGGCAACAACACAAACAGGGATTCCTGTCAAGGATTGAAAAAAGAAAGATCATACACAGTCATTATCGGACTGAAATGAGCCACAGCTAACACTGAACGCATATTCAAAGAGCTCAGGTTTTCAGCACAATACCTGTGATTTGGACAGTGTTGGAATCTCATCTCATCTGTGACTCTTCTGCTGTTGCATTAAACCCACATTCTCATAGACTCGAGAGCTGTCGTCCCTCATGCTGAAAACACATGGATTTACATCATGGCACAAGATTCCAGCTTATAGCTGGCATGAAATTAAAACTGACCCTAGTTTTCTTAATGCATGTTACTGGTCTTCATGTAAACAATTCATCTGTGCATTTCCAAAAAAAATAAATACATACATAAATACACTATTAAGTGTTTATTTTATAACACTATCTGTTTGCATTAATAGATTTTACATACATACAGTTTACAGTTTTATTTCTATCTATATTCTGAAGGTTTTTACAGAAGGGGTTGTTCATATAACATTTGCCTGGTTTCTATACCTAAAAACACGTATATGTTTTTCTGTCTGTTGGCAGCATTTTCTCATTTATGGAGTAATAAAAAGAGAAATCCGAAATCCGTAAAAAAGCTCTAATATGTCACCAAATTGAAGTATTTTGCACCTGGCTTTATCCAGTGTTCAGATTTCTGTTCTGGAAATGTATGCAAATGAGTGCATATTTAAATTTGATAATGCATAATCTTCGTATTTAAATAGCATGTCAGAAAACTTAATCCAAAACATTTGACCTAATCGGTTTCCATTCCGTTACGCAACACTCACTTTTCACAATCAACTCAAAAACTGAAGAATAAAATCAAGCCCAGCTCTACATTTTTTCTTATTTGATAGCCATTTCACTCAGAAATACAGCACAATATAGTAGTAAAGTCTATTTCAGCTTCAGTTTCATATTGAATTTAAAACCCGGTGCTTGGTCCAAATCAGAATTTAGAGTTGGAAATATCATTATATAAAACTCAAAAAAAAAAAAAAAGGTGTTTATGTCAAGAGATGTCTTATGATTTCTATTGCTTCATTTGACATTCATTTCTCAAATGCTTTCTCTCTAAAGTGGTGAGGTCTGGTGTGTAAATGCATGCGTGTTCTCACTCGGCACAGGTTGGTGTTGGTGTGCACGGTGGCAGAGGGCTCTGGTCTCCTCCAGTCAGGTCAGAGAGAGAGTATTTGATGTTGGTGTACTCGCGTCCTTTAATTTTACTTTTCTGAAAGAAACAGTCCATGAGATAAAGTCATGCTGGCAACGCTGCAAATCTACATCATTCTGCTCCTCACTTTATAAAGCTGCTGTCAACAAAAGACAAACTTTAAAGTCTCCCTGCAGTTTTCTGCCAAAATAATAGGTTTATTGTTTGGAAATGAATACATTAAAATTGTTGTTCTATAAAATACTATTAATATTATTTTATATTATTATGTAAGTTTTAACTTACAGTGAAACATTTGTATTGTATTTTGTAAATTGTTTTAATGTAGCAGTAGTAGTAGTATAGTAGTAATAATAATAATAATCATCATCATCATCATCATAATAAAACAATACTTATAAGTTATTATCATTATTTTACAGTCATATTGCTATAATCAAATTCAAATATAAGCCAAATTGGCTTATGCGTACTTATATAACTCCAGTAAAATGAAATTAAATTTATAGCAACAAACCCTTTGTTGGTTGTGTGCCATACACTTTTTATGTAATATGAGCCCCTAGTGTTTGTTTTCTTTTCTTTTCTGTACATAGTAAGTATTGTTACAGACACGGTATGTACATGTGTCAGTCTTGTGTTTCAAGAAAATGTAATAAAAATAATAATACAAAAAAAAAATATATATAAGCCAAATTGTGCAGCCCTACAAATAACCCCAGCAAACATGGAGCTCTTTAAAAAAGCTTATTAATCAAAACAAACAGTCCTTGAGACTAATTCATGTTGGCAACACTGCAAATCAACACCATTTTGCTCCTCTGTTTATAAATCTGTTAAGCTTCAAAGTCTCCCTGCATTTTTCAGCCAAAATAAAAGCTCTATGGTTTAATGTTTGAAAGTGAATAAATTAGGACAGCCTAAATATTACTTTATAATATTTATATTACTTTATTATTACTGTTGTTCTGTAAAATAACATTATTATTATTTCATATTATTATATTTAAATTTTTTCTTATACTTTTTTTTAACAATGGAATAGTATTATTACAATAGTAATATCTCATTTTGTATTATATATTGTAAATATTTTTTTCGCCTTTTTTTCTGCCAAAATAAAAGCTCTATGGTTTAACCCTCAAAGACCGAGACAGCCGTCCGTGGCTAAAAATAACTATTGTTCTTAAATGTTTCATAACTTTTGAACCGCTAATCCTATCTGAATGCTTTAAAAAGTGTTGTAAAGCGGAGATTCTCATTTGTCTTATTTGGATATTCAGTGGCTCCGTAGGCCACGTGATTATATCATTACATTTTGACAACATTGATTCGTCAGAAGAAATCAATGCATTTCGTTCCTCTGAGCCAAACAGGAATGATTGTTGACGCCTAGTCCCACCCCCGTGCCCAGATTGGTTCAAACTGTCCCATATTCAACCAATAAACATAGGTTTTGGTCTTTTGAAATTTGAACCACCATTTAGGATTTTTGATTGTAAATTTGAACAAACGCAAAGTGAAAGTAAAGTC